ATTCAATTATTTTTGTAATTAAATTTAACTTTGAAGTATTATTCTCTTAAGGTCCTGGGTTTGAGTAATTACGTTTACATGATGTATGCATATTGTCAATGGTTAAGAAAAATCATAAACAAACATTCCTTTGTAATCATATCATACTATTAAAAAAATTAAAATTATAAATACAATTATAATCACAAATCGATATATGATAATTCTAAACTGGAAATTGAAATATTTCTAGATTCTCCTTCTCTAAATTTGAATTTGAATTACCACAAAATAAATTAAAAATCATAGAGTATCGTAGATTATTTTGATAATTATAATATAATAACTGTAATTTAATTGAATGACCTCAATGATAAAAGAGGGTGTTGTTATTCGTAGAGAACTCGGATTCTAGTAGCTATTTGTAAAGTGTGTATGTTATCAATGACTAAAAAATTCTTAATAAATATTATCTTATAATCATCTCAAACTATTCGAAAAAAAACTATAATATTTAACCTAACTAAAGGCATACAAAACTAAAGGCATACAAAATTGACACGTGTATTTGATTGGGAAGGCAAAAGAAAACTCGTGGGAAAATAGCAATCTTTTAACGTAGCTTTCCATATGTTTTCCATTTATGTACATGGCCATGCAAACTAGAAGGTCGACGAGAACCTAACTCTTGCAGTGGCCGCAAGGAAACCCTCACATGCCTATTTCATTTCATACATTAATATAAATATAATAAATAATATATATATATATTTCACCGTCGATTGCTCAACATGTTACCACATGGTCTTTTATATATAATTCGCAAACCTAATTTATCGATCCACGAGCAAAGGTTTTTTTTTGGCCATATAGCTGTTTTCCTTCAGCTCGAGTAGTAATTATCCTATACTAACAACTCATTGAGTACATACAAAATGAACTACTTAAGTATTCATATTTATCGATTTATAGTTAAAAGTATAATTATTGAATTCAATGCTTACGGTGTTTTCGCTCCTCTCTCTCTTTTAATAATTAAGTGATATAAAACAATATCTATTCAAAAAACTCTTAATTATTTGACAATAAAACTTAAATACCCTTATAGACGTCGTGCTCGAACCCGAGACCTTAAAAGATAGCAATCATACCTTTAATCACTGAGATCACTTGATTCATGTTTATTTTCTTAATTATATAGTTCGATAATTTAATTTATATTTATGAAAATGAAACACATTTTATGATCGATTGTTTATCTCTTGAAAATTATCTAACGAGAGAGATTAATTGTTATCAGCAATGGTGTTGGAGTACATGAAGTTAGGTTGGTGGAGTGGCATTGAATGGATGAGAAATGCAATGTGCCAAACTTGAAAACTTTAGCACCCAACCTTTTTATCCAAAATAAGGTTTAAGAAGACGATTCCAACGCACAATTCGTTGGAATTTTGCAGTGTCTTATGTGGGAAAGATAAATAAATAAATAAAATGAAAGGGGACATGAGCTTTCAATTGCTTTCCACATCATTTCGAAATTTCAGCCATTCGTTTCATTTGATCACATGTTTTATATGCATTAAATCACCAAAACAGAGAAAGGGAGAAAACTCCATGTGAAATTACAAGGAAATAAATCACATGATCGGTCGGCCATGTGTTCAAATATTGCTTTGGAAATTGCTTTCGTTTCATTTTACTTGTGTTCATCATCCGTCGTTTCCAACTAGATAATGTACTAGTACTTCATAAGAAAAAGAAAATAACATTTATTTAATGATACGACTATCTAACAATATTGTAGAATAAAGTTTCAAGATAATCTCTTCAATTCTCGTAAAAACTTTCTCATTATTCATTTTTAATTATTCAACAATTTTAAAAAACATATAAAATTTACTATATAAATGAATATTTGTACAGCATACAAAAAAAAACAATTCATTCTCAAGCTTTAAAGTGAAATACCCAAGTTCAATATATATTTGAGCTATGTTTATATCATAGATAATAAATTTATGGACTTGGAGATACATCGATAAAAAGTTATTACACATAAATATTAGATGTAATTGTAATATATATAGTTAAGTCAAAAATGAATTTGAAATTATTATTGAAAGGATGATTACAATTACAAACTTAAAATTTTAATATTAATAAACTATAAGATACCTTGAATTATAATGAAAAGTGAAATTATTGTCAACTGCATGTTCTGTCGGGTTTGCGTTTTGGATATGGGATAGAGTAATTGTCACCACTTTAAATCTGTGGCAGTTTTGTAATAGGCTAGCAGCCGGTGTCGACAAGTAATTTAAATGGAATATCATTGAAGATAATATCAAATGGAAAGTGACAAGCTGACGACAATATTATATAAATTATTATTTAGTATATTAATGGTGTGCGTTTTTCTGTCTACAAATAGTTGTAATTCATGGTGACATATCTTTTATTTTTATTTAAATATTAATCAAAAGATACATGTTAATAAATTAAAATTATTTGTAAATAATTTATTATTAACTTATCAAATAATTATTTTATAGGTTAATGTGGTTTTTTTTTAATTTCGTAAGAATTAAGAAACTGTCGTATGTTATGAAATAATTTTTAACCTCACTTATAAAATAAAGATTATTCATATCTCGTAAACTAATTCCTACCTCATAAATTAGTGAAACTTGTTAGATATATTTAACATACTATAAAGTCTATTGCAATACAAAGAATATCTTCGAATATGGTTATGGTTTTATCATCAACCTCACGCTTCAAACTGTTGTTATGGTTAATCTATTCCAACCTAATGCTTCAAATTATTGTTATTGTTGGAACTATCTTGCCACTCTTGTACCTAACCTAATGCCTATTTTTATTGAGGTATTCTGATATCTATTTAAAAATTAAAAGGATAAAGATATGAACTATGATGATATATGAATCAACGTGACTCAACAATAAGATTCTTATGAATGACTTATAGTATAAATTAAGCATGATAGCCATAGATACTTATATGATGTTCAAATTATGCATATGCATTGCTACATGATAATATAGAGTTATAATTTTATTGGTATAGTTATACATAAAGTGATAATTAGATTTGATTTAAAGTGATAATATGGTTAAGAAAGCATTTAGACACATTTAAAAGCATATTGGTATTTTCAACATGCATATATTGTATAAAAAGTACTTGGCATGCTAGATTATTTTCCGTAAATGAATATGATGTTTTGAATAGGTTTAGATGACACATTTTAAATATGAATATGTTCATGTTGGTTGCATGGCAACGGGCCGGGTTCGAACTGGGTATTGGTTCCACCGTCCCCATTTAAAAACTCGTACCGTTTAAAAAACTGCGGGGATTTAAACGGGATCTTCATCGTTTAATCGGAAAAATCGCAGGGAAACAGATATCCCGGTTAGCATAAACGGTTATTTAAACGGGTATCGGGCCGCATATATATATATTTAAATTAAATATAAATATTATATATATATTAATTTAAATTAAATTTATTAATATTATATATATATATATATATAATAATTATTTTTAATATTTATCGGGTCAGATATCAGGCCGGATAATCGGGTAATCGGGGCGGGGATTACCAAACCCGTTCCCATCTCCGTTTAGCATAAACGATTTTCCCTGTCCCCGTCCCCGTTTATCATCCTCGAACCCGACCCGTTTAATTCGATTTTCAGTTTTCCCAGTCGGATTCGAGTTTTTTTTTGACATCCCTAATCTATCAGTGTATCCACCTTACTTTGAAAACGGTTGAATTTGAATTTTATATTAAAGGAATATATTTATAAAATTTCAGCTATAATTAAGCTACTTTATATTCCGCTTGTAACATCCTTGCTCCAATGATATCGTTGGAATTCTGTCCGTCATCGCTTTGCAGTTTATCAATTGATTATTCAAAGCTGTTACTCAATATAAAATCATATTTTCAGCAAAACTCTAGTTCCCTATCACTTGTATTTTTATAAATTTATGACAAATTTTCATTCTAAAAGAAAATGATATTATATTATAATGTCATAATTTATTATGTCTTGAAATTTATAAAAACCATAAATTTTAAAACTAGTCACAATATAATATTTTATATCTAAATTTTAAATTATATTCAATTATTTATTAAAATTTTGCTTTTAATTCAATCACTAATACTGTTATCTATATAATACATTGATACTATTATAATTTCCAGGTTTGTACTTTCTTAAATATACGGTCACAATAATTTCTTCATAGTTAATTATACGATATTCAATATATTTATAAAGAATGCAACCAAATTGGGCGTTTGGTCTAGTGGTATTATTCTTGCATTCGTTGCGAAAAGTCCCAAGTTCGAATCTGTGAATGCGCCAATCTTTCTGCCTCTTATCCTTTACTTTTTTGGGTAAACTGTGCGCTTAGTTCCTAAACTATTATTTTTGTTCAATTTTAGTACTTCATTTTTTTTTTTTTTTCAAAATCAACTTAAGTTTAATTTTTATTATTTTAGTACCACACCATTAAAGCTAACGAATGGGCTGACGTGACATAGCTCAATGGACGAACAATCAATCTGAGTGGTAGACCATGAGAAAATGACAATTTGATCAATATAGTCCAGTTTCAGGTCCATCATATGGTGGACCAGGAAATCAGAGGATGAAAAATTAAAGAGTTCATCAATTTGGAGAGATTGGGACGTTTCTCGTGAAACGGAGGTCAAAATTGCTTTTAGGGGTTGAAAAGGTATAGATTGAAATGTTTGAGGTTCATCGACCGATGGATCGACAACCGACAACTGTAGACACGGCAACTGACAAATCAATCCGTTAAGTTTCTTACGGTGAGATACTAAAATAAAATAAAATCTAAACATTAGGCAGAATTTTAAAATAAAACTGATAATTTAAATACTAAACACGTAGTTTATCCTCTCTCTTTTTCTACAACAGTGGTTTCACTATATATTCACTGTACACACCTAATTTCCTTCCGTTTCCTTACAACCTTATCCGAACACTCCCATCCCCTTTCAATCCAAACAGATAAAAAGAAGAAAAGCACAAGAAAAGAAGATAAAAATGGCTTCCTCAACGCTCTCGACTCTTTCTCTCCGTTCCCCTTCTTATCCGCCACCTACTGCTTCCTCTCTTCTTTCCAAAACCCCTTCTCTCCAATTCCCTCTCCGTTCCGCCGCCCCTCCTAACCTCGCCCACCGCACCATCTTTCTCCGTCCTCCCAACGCAATCGAAGCTCCCGAAAAGATCGAAAAGCTCGGCGCCGAGATCTCTAACCTAACCCTCGAAGAAGCTCGGACCCTTGTTGACTACCTCCAGGAGAAACTCGGTGTCTCCGCCGCTGCATTCGCCCCTGCTGCCGTCGCGGTTGCTGCCCCTGATGCAAGTGATGCTGGAGCGACTGTCGTGGAGGAGAAGACGGAGTTCGATGTTGTGATTGATGAGGTTCCTAGCAATGCGAGGATTGCGGTAATTAAAGCGGTCAGGGCTCTGACGAGTTTGGCGCTGAAAGAAGCGAAGGAGCTGATTGAAGGGTTACCCAAGAAGTTCAAGGAAGGGGTTTCGAAAGAGGAGGCTGATGATGCCAAGAAACAGCTTGAAGAAGCTGGAGCTAAAGTTTCTATTGCTTAGAGAATCTAAATTTTCGACGGGTTATATTTTCGTGTCTATTCTGTTTGTTGAAATGCTCAAGTGAATTTCTCCTTTACGTACATTGTTAGTTTGAGATTTTGTTATTGGATTAGGTTGCATATTGGAGTTGTTCTTCAAATTACAATGTCTATCTATCCAAATCTAAATGCCCTTTGAATTTTAAGTCTGATTACAACGTCAGTTTATGCTAACTTAAGAGGCTCGCATTAATGCTGGACATGTAAAAAGTAACTACTATAAAATATATGAACACACCATCAGGGTTCATGAATGACCACATGCAGATATCAACATGAAATGGTGTCCTCAGAAATTAAATCCAGAGTGAGGTATAAGACATGTCGGATAAGGTAACTTGTCATCCTGTTTTCTATTACTAATTATCTTTGCTCTGGTTTAAGTATATTAGTTGCTGTTAAGATTTTATGGATGTTAAGGTTTGTCATTTGCTGTTACATGAATTAGGATTCTATATATTGATATAGGCAAGGTCCTTTAGTTCTTGTTACCATTTACTCAAATATGGCCTTGCATAAGCTTAGGTAAAGTAAAGCATCAGAAAGGATTATGTAATTTCATCAACTAAAAACTACCACCATGAGTATAGAAGCAAATTTAGTCATCCAACAGGGTACCTGTTAGACAATGAGAAAATCCACAGCCCTTGAAACAAATTCAATCAAATAGAGGGTTTAGGGGAGCTTGTTCTGCTCTGCGCTTGATGCGTACCACGGGGCACTCGGCATGCTTCACACACAAAATTCACTCACAGAATTACCAATATTCCTGGACACACCAAACACCCAATTAAGTTCTTCTAGAGACGAGTATGTCCAAGATTGGAGACATACGGGTGTGAAGGGATGAAAACTTACAGGCAGATATGACCGAATGCTCTACTACCCATGACAAGGAGATCAGGTTGGATCCTCCTTGCTTCGATACAGATAGCGTTCTTTGGATCGCCTGTCACGATCCAGGCCCAGCAATCAACCTAGAGTGGGCAAAATTGTATCAGAACGGGGAACTAAGATTCGAATGTGAAGTTCACTTAAGAATGTAATCTGTTGAAGAATGAAAGATTACCCCAATATCTTTACACCTTTTGACAAAGTGTTCCAGCAAATGAAGCCCTCTTGCATGGTCCCTGTGCTTCATGGCCTCGAAACACTCGGGAGAGGTATATATTTTGGCATTGTCGCCGCTACATGATGGAAAAGAACATATCGAAAGAATAAATCATCACCTCGATTACCTATCATTAATTATTTTGCAACAGTTATTTTACTAACATTGCTATATGTAGACACGGGTTTTTGTCTGAGTTTTTAAAAAATTATTTATTATTAATATTTTTTAATTATTTTACAGGCCAAGTTCAACCCCACCATTTCACAAAACTCATAAAAATAAAAATAAACCATCCAACCACTCACTATTATCTCACCACTACCCTACCATTATCTCCACCACGTTGTCCCCATTTCCCCACTTCCAAGGTAACTACTTTCCCACACCTCTCTGCCTGCACAAGTCTATAAATTATGTCCATTAACAGAACTAGGGGGTGACACAAAACAAACAAAAAGGCAGGGAGGAACAGAAGGAAAGACAATTCATTCACCTGCACTCACGGGTTGCAAGGGTTTATGGGTGTGTAATGTTGTCGGTGGTGGTACTGGATCTGGTCTGGGATCTTTGTTGGAGCGTCTGTCAGTTGATTATTGGAAAAATTCGAAGCTCGGGCTCAGTCTGCAAGAACTGCTACAAAAGTAAATGAGATGGTGGGAAATGTCAACACTAGTAGTGTTTTAACAGCTTTTGAGAAGATGGAAGATAAAGTTTTGGCAATGGAGTCTGACGCTGAAGCTCTTGGGCAGTTATCCACCAATGATCTTGACGGGAAGGTATTGACTACCTTGCTTTTAGTTTTACAATCTTTAAATCCAAATATAAACTTTCCATGGCCAAATTTCCATTGTCGGATGTAATCATTTGCATTAATTGTTGGCAATGACCATTATAGGGCCAATTTTAACAATGTTAATGGGTTTTTGTGGGTGTAACCATGAAATGCCAACTTAGCTTTTGGCTTGGTTATACTGACTCGAATTATTTTGAAATCAAAGCTTACTTTCTGAAATATTTTCTGTGAGTTTATCCAAGAATATGAAATATGGAACAAAGAACGCTCCTGCTCTATTGATTTACTTGTTGTCATTTGCTAACATCAGACTTTTTGAAATTCAACAACGTTTTGGTGTTGTAAGTTCTCTGAGTTCAGTTGTTTAAATGTATGATAGCCTAGAATACATTTCAACACTTGTACAAAAGTGTTTGTGTATTCCATGATTATAATTCCCAACAGGAAGGTTAATGGAACCAAATTGTTATTGTTGAACCGATAGTCTTCAAATTACTTACCTTTGTTGGACCACACTGTTAATAGTATTCGTATTTATTTATTTATTTATTTTGATTCTTAATCTAACATTTTTTTATCTTTTTTTCCCAACCCAATCAAAGGTAAGTAATTCGAATTTAATTTTTAAATTTTAATTTTAATTTTTCGCAACTAAGACAACTGACAAATTAATTGGTACCGAAAGGGCGGTTTAAGGGTGCTAATCCTTCATTGACCGTAACCGACTCCCGAACCCGACACATTTATGGTAAAACGCAGATCAGGTAATATGGTGTCCGATCCACCTAATTATTTTTAAATGATCGGTGGCGACTCTAATCCATTTTATTCAAGTCGTTGCCCAATTCTGGGCTCACCTGAAAGACGGTCGCGACAGTTTGGCGACTCCACTGGGGACATAAGTCATGCCAAAATTAAATTCATGTTGTTGTTTTTAGCGAAAATTACAAGTTAAAATTTTAATTTATTTATTTGATTCCAATTATTTATTTTTGATTATTTTTCAAGTAAACAGTTGTACTGACGTTTTTTCAATAATTTCATATTTTTGAAAAAGTTTTCATATCTGACCCTGTACCCGAGCTTCAAACCCTTTTAAGTGGGGTGAAAGTGATGCCTTCGTGGGAATTTATTATCCGTATGGGTCTAGCAAGTAACCTTCGGGATTCATATACTTTATGCTTTCATGTGAATTTATTCTCCATATGGACATAAGGGAATGTTTCCTCTCGAGTTTAACTTAGTCCACACAAGCCTGTGATGAGTTTAGGATTAAGGGTCTGCAAGCCCAATGGGGCACCAGCAAGGAGAACTCGGGTACCTTTTTTAGAACCTAAATCGGGGGACTACAAGGAATTAGAACCCACCCCAAAATCTCATTTCAAACCCTAGGATCCCTGACTTATTTCTTGCTTTATTTTTCTGTTCAAAGCATGCGAACTAGACAAATATGCGGATAAGATTTGTTTGAAATTAGCATGCGAGATAGAGATCATGTATGGGTAGGAATAATAAACATGTTGGGTAGATATCATGTGGGGTGGGACTTTTCATTTTCATCATTTTTTATCCTTATCTCACTAACTTTTTCCTTTCATTTTTGTTCTTTTACATTTTTTTATCATTTTCATCATTCAAAATAGGTGTTGATCCACCAAAAATGTGTTCGTTAAACGTAAATAATCTGCATTAATGGACAAAGGAGTTATAATACAAGAGGTGAAAAACACAAAAGTCCAATTCAGAAGGGTCTGGGATTTACGCCGAGCACACACCATAAGTCAACTTTTTGAGTTGACAAAAATTTGTTGGGGCATACAAGAAAAAGGTCACTAACCTGGAGAATCCCTTCAAAGATAACAAGAACAAGATGGTGAAACCCTAGCTAAGCTGGAGACCACTATTGACAAATTCTAGAAGCAAGCTTTTTCTATCGATGGAGGACTCTAATGGCACTTTCGTTAGGAACAAACTCAACAGAGAGTGAAAGTTGTAGATGCAGTCCTTCGAGACTTTTTTGGGGCAAGCAACTCGTCACTTGCACAGTTTAGCCAGAGAAGCCAGAATGGTCCAACAGGGTATTCAACCAGTGACAGAAGAAGGCAGAAGATGAATCAATCTGTTAGAAGCAGTTCGGGGTCTATACTTTTAAAATATTTTTTGTCTCTTAAGACGTAACACTTTTGTCCCCAATAAGGATTATTTACAATAACAGACACGTTTTTTTGGATCAATGCCTCGAACATTTCATGCATCATGCATTCTTGCATATTTCACATAATTTTTCTTTCTTTTTTCATTACATCCACAAGAATTAACAAAAAAATTCATAAATAAAAGGGTACAAACACTGGAGGTACCACCTCAAGCAAGGACACTCTCGAAGTAGAAATTTGTGTGTCTGAAGGTATTTCATTAGAAGCCATGACAAGTGAAACAATTGATAAATGGGAAGCAAGTGCAGATGAATGCCATAATCCTCAAAATAGTGGGACATCCTATTGAGGATTTATTCCATTTTGCAGCGTCCTGTTTGGAGTTGTTTTTTTAACATTCTCATATTTAGTTTTGTAACTTATTTTTGAACTTTGACATATTTCTTTTTATGAGGACATTTCAATCAATTTGTGCTGAGCATTGAATTAAATTTACAACTTGAAATTCTTTGAATATCAACTAAATTAAAAACTCTGTAAATGATTCAGAGTTACATATCTTTGACAAAGTAATAAAACAAAGGACTTTGACCTTACCCAGAGGATACGCTCGAACACCATACATTTCTCTTACAAGAACCACGATAGCCTTCTCCTATCATAAAGAAACGAAAAAGAGGCTTGGTATTTAGGTGTGCATAGGTGCGGACAACATGGGGCATCTTTTATTACTATATTTTTTGTTTAAGACGTTTAATGATGATTATGATCTTTACATATGAAATAGTCGAGTAGGTGAATCTAGTTTAGGTCAGTTGCTCGGAAATTGAACTCTAAAAATGAAATTTTTGACTTTCAACAAACACCTAGACTATAACAGATTTTTGTTAACAATCTTAAGAAATTAAATCCGTAAAGCTGAGCTATTCCACTAAGGCAATTGGTTACAGAGGAAACTCGAAAGCCCTGACTTTA